CCCAGTGCCCTTGACCTGTGAACTGTCAATGTTGATCACCCTGTCATCCTTGACCTGTTCCCAATTAAGCTTGATCTTCCCTGTCCTGCTTGAACTGCTTTCAACAGAAATTGACTTTCTCTGTGTCATCCAACTCCTTTCCTCTGTTCCCTACCGTCCTTCCTTGAATGACTCTGATCCAACCCTTCCTCCCTCAGATGTCTAAGCCATGATTACTCTCTTCACCATGAACAGCTGTACCCAAACTCCCAATAGCTGCCACATTCCTTCCATGGATAGCCATGTGCCGAGTTCCTAAATAACCATCTCATGGACTTAGCCTCGTCTCTCTGGTCCAATAAAATTCCCTATACAGCTGGTACTCATTCTAAAGCTACCAGGAAACTTCCCTCAGAGATAGTAGGAACTGCAGATGCTGGAGAATCCGAGACAACAAGGTGCAGGGCTGGATGAACACAGCAGGCCAAGCAGCATCATAGGAGCAGAGAGGCTGACGTTTCGGGCCTAGACCCTTCATCAGGAAACTTCCCTCACCTGCTTCGTGCCATCTTTATCCATGTTTCTCATTTATTGCCAACTTAATCACAACGATACCATTTAACCTGACAACCAAGTGTTTTAATGAGTGTGCACAACATGCTAATCCATGTAAAAATAGTCTCTCACTGCTTGCTGTCAGGAACCACAAACCACCTTTCACCCACTGCCAACTTACCTTCCAACTTTAATCCCACCATTGGAAAAGTGACATTTTGCCTTCTGCATAAGTATGTGCCTCCCCCCATCCCAGCTCTCATTTCCAACTCCCAGGTGTTTCACTAGGATCTGCACAAAGTCTGGCTGCTGCTGTGAGCCATTAAACTACAGGATCTCAGCAACTCATTTTAGATAGGACAAGATATTCATCCAAATGATTAAACCCCTTTCTTTCCAAAGCCTTTTTTTTTTATCATTTTATTGCCGTGAACCCGTTCAAATGCCAGCAACTTCAAACCTCCCACAGTTTCAATCTGTAACTTTACAATACTCTTTCTGTTACAAAATTTGACCTGAAGAGCTGATGTAATTTTATGTTCCTCTTCTGGAATCTATGATTTCTGGTTCAGGAATTTTGTGTACACCAGTAAAATTTAGCTAATTTAGACTTGTATAATCCAAATGAAGCCTTAAAAATTTCAGTCACAACTTGCCAAGAAAGAAAAGCTTTTGGTTACACAATCACTCTTTACAGTTAAAGTCCTCTGCATGTTGCTATTCAATCTTGTACTCTTCTGTTCAACCTTTTCTAACAACATGGTATTCCAATTTGAAAGCAAAAATTAAAACTGGACTCTCAAAGGAATTTGTCGTACCAAGTTGACCTACAATTTTGAAATGAGCTCCTTCTGTTTGTATTTTAAATGTCTTGTTATTTTGCCCAACACTTGTGTGTTTTCCTTACAACGACAACTGTGTTTGGACTAAAATTTGCTTCATATTTTGTTAACCTGGAAATTCTGGTCAGCACATCAACCTGTTCATTTTTAGTTAAGGCTTCAAGCTCCAAAGGTTTCACCAGTAGCTTACCTCCTATTTGGATCAAATGGGCAGTGTTCAACAGGCAAACTGTGGAACATTTTGTTTAATCTTGTCCATTGATAAAATAAAGGGCTGATGTCTATAATAGGTCATATCAATACTTCCAAAATGCCACAGAGTTTTTGCAAAAAATTACTTTGAAGCCTGGTGATTCTTGTTATGTGCAGTAAATGTAGCAGTCCAACTTGTCCATGCCAACCAGATATCCTAAATTAATCTAATTCTATTTGCCGGCATTTGGTCCATATCCCTCTAAACCCTTCCTATTCATATAGCTATCCAGGTGCCTTTTAAATGTTGTAATTGTACCAGGCTCCACCACTTGCTCTGGCAGTTCATTCTATAAACACACCATCCTCTGCATGAAAAAGTTGCCCTTTAGGTCCCTTTTAAAACTTTCCCCTCTTACAGTAAACCTGTGCCCTCTAGTTTTGGACTCTCCCACCCCAGGGAAAGGAACTTGTCTGTTTATCCTATCTACGCCCCTCATGATTTTATAATGGTCACCCCTCAGCCTTCAACATTCCAAGGAAAATAGCCCCAGTCTATTTGGTCCTCCTGAAATATAATGGGACATTTTAACCCTATCTGCCCAACATGAACCATTGAAACAGTATTTAAAGGGGAATTTATCTGCATGTAATTTGATCCAAGGATCTGTGTATTATTGTAACTTTTTGATCACCAGGAGATTTTCCACTTTACATTATCATTATTTCTGTCATTATTTACCTTACTTGCCTTCAATACGTTTTATTTGCTTATCGTGTGTGCCATTCTTCCCAGAGTTATTGTTAAAGATAGAGTCATACGGCAAAATGTTCTCCACCTAAAGATGATGGGCTTGGAGTTGTGATTGATCCAGGAACTTAGTGAGGAGAAGCCTTGGGACATTAAAAGGAAGTTTCTCATGGGCGGTAGGGATCTAGATTGACTTGCATGCACCAGTTGGACTGAATACAGCCCCAGTTAGATACGATTCTGTGGGTGTTGTGAAATTTTGCAGCCCATGGAGCAGTCCTCGCCCTGTATGTGGAAGATGCTGTTTCCAGGGAGTCAGCTTCCTTGCAGCAAGCTAGGGGACTATTGAGCCAGATGCTTCACATCACTGTGATAGGTGCATGGACAAGAAAGGCCATACCGATGGCCCTAACAGTGCACTGGGAGGAGTTTCCCCTTCACTTTATTGGGTCTTATAGCTTTGCCCAGAATCGTTTTAACTTCAGATATGGGCACAGATGATCCCTAATTTACTTCAGCAGCAACTACCTCTCCCAATGGGAGGGATCTGATTGGACCAACAGAGTTGATGGCTTCTGGGGATGACTAATTAGGAGGCCATCTCTAGAATGATTGGACCATGGTTGCACCAGCAAGTGCAGGAGCCTGACCTCCATTTGGTCCTGGCACTGGGCTTCCAACAGCTGTGGGAAAGTCTCCCCCTCAGCTTCAGCAACAGCTCAGCATATTAAAAGGCGGCAGGTAAGGATGGCAGGGAGAGTGAGGGCTGAGGTTAGTGAGGATGGGTACTCATAGGGGACATTTCCAACAAACAGGGTGTACACTCTTAAACACAGTTCCTTGGCTCCATCTGAAGAGCAATGCAGGCTCCTCTTCTTCAGGTAGGCTCTTACAGATTTAAGTAGCCTCCTGCAACAGGACTTGTGACTGCAGACTAGGAACCAAACTTTACCAGTGACTCTCACATACACTACAGTCTTTGACCTCTTTGCCATTGCCTTCTTCCAGCCTGCTACAAAAATCCTTCTCCACACATGCTAGTACACAGCTACATTCAATTACTCATCAATGTCCCCTTTGTCAGAGCTAAGCAGTACATCCTCTCCCCTCTCCCCCCACCAAGTCGATGTGAGAAGGTTTGGGATTTAAAGGAGTGCTGATTTTCCTTATGGCCAGGGCATCATTGACTGTACAATTTTGCCATAAGGGAACCTGGACACCAGGCAGCAGTATTTGTGAATAAGAAGGCCCTTCAGTTCAGTCTAGTTCATCTTGGACCAGGGAAATAAGCTCTTACAAGTCAATGTATGGTAACCAGTCTTTGTCACAATACATTAATCATGTGACATTTACTATTCTTGCACAATTTTCAATTGTTCCACCAACTCAACACTAGAGTTGCTGGTAATACAAAGGAATACCTTTCTGACCGTGGTTCATGACAACCACCCACAACCCCATCAAAGCCTGAGCAGAAAGGGACAGCCAGCATTGTTAGAACCTTATTTTCCCACAGTGTTTCTGCTGCTAGTGTGTTAGAGAAGATCAAAGGATATTAACTGCTGGAACATTTTGCATGGATTAATGAAATTTGGCAAGAAACTGCCTATTAAAATTAAGAATCACATTATGATCCTGCCACTAAAATCTTGGGAACATTTGTACAAATACTGCCAAATGTTTGCAATTCCATACCAGATGTCAATTTATTTTGATTATAGTCACTTGGCATGCTCAATTTTCTGAATTCTCCATTGTTTAGTAAGAAGTCAGAACATTCCACTGTGGGAATAATGTTAACAAGTGCCTGCTTTACCAGGTTTCATAAAATTATGAATTCTTAATAATTTTCATAATTCTTTGTTTTCTTTGTGTTAGATTACCACCCTAACACTGTGCTTTCCTTAAATATATACTAACATAAAGAAATTGTAAAAATATAAAAAAGCCCTCTACAAGTATTTCTAAATCTATCTGTTTGCCTCTCCCACGTTCATGACTCTAAACATTAGGTCATATATTGAACTGCATGTAACTCAGTAAGAAAGATTGTCCAACAGAAGCTGAGCATAACTTTTGACAAATTTGAATCTCAAACTCATAACTATTTTTTTGGCTATGTGCCATATTTCACATTGTTCAGATTTCAGCAGTGTTTTTAGGTAATCTAAATTCCATGTTTAAATATTCCCAAGTTTGCCCTCTGTTGCATAAAAAGGATCCAATCCTTACGCATAATGTAGAGGAAACAACATTAATCTTTTGCCTCCATTCTGGTTTAATGGTTCTGATTATTATTGTGTAGTATTGTATCATTTCCAAAATTATAATGGGGCAAACGTATTGAAAGCATGTAATTCTTTTCCCATCAATGAACATTGACTGTCAATGACAATGTTACATAAAATATCAGATCAGAAAATATCGAACCTTGGCTATTTTTTATTTAATTATGTGCTCAATTCCAAAAATTGCATCTGTTTAACTTGCTTTCTATTTCTGTGGAACATTAAAGTGGTTTGAAACTTAGAGATCATGTTGCATTATGAAACATAAACAAAGCGTGTATTATAGTTCCTCATTATTTTGTAAAATGTAAAGCTAGATTCATCTCACTAGTTTTGGATTTGAATTGTTCTTTCAATTTTCTTTTGGTTTTAAGCATAACTTTTTTCTTTTAGTTCAACAAAGTGCGAACCATCACCACTAGATCTAATTCTGTCAAGCAGGGCAAAGACCAGCATTTCCCAGTCCTAATGAATGAGAAGGAAGACATTCTCTGGTGCACTGAAATGGAAAGGTATGTTTGTTTTGCTCATACCCAATCCCAGTTTATACTTCTAGATACTGGGAGGATACAGGCCTCTCACTGTCAATATGACACAATTACACAGATGTGGAATAGTTTAACTCCAGATAATTTCAAAACCCAAACTTTTGCAAGTCCACATCCAATTCATCAATTTCAGACTGCATTACCATGTTAGTTATTTGTCCTCTGAGCAGTAGTTTACACGCAAATTTGACAGAAACCTTTAGAATATTTGTACAACAACTTGAATCTCTCCAGTCGTACATAAGAGTAAGAGTCCAGCCCCCTGAGCAGACTGTATCATTTTGTTGATCATAGCAACTGTCTGAATTGGATTTCACTGCAAAATGATTCAGTACACTAGTGAAACAATGGTTAGAGAGCTCTACGGCCACATCTCTAATCCAAATTAAATTCAAATTCCTATAACCAAGCAATAGAGGATATGTGACCATAGAACATTGGAGGTAGACCCTATGATTGATTCCCTGTGTTTCAGCCACTAAACCTACCAACTCCTGGGCTGCAAAGGAGGAGTGGGAATGATAGTCTGCCGAGCATCAACTAAAAAACCAAATTCTTCCAGTTACACACTACTATTAGGGGTGCAGACCAGGCCAAGATCTAAAACTAAGATCATCCTTTCCATCTTGGGATGCTGCTATCCCTTTAAAGTCAGCCTCCTCTCCTGTAGAACCGGTGAGAAATTTTGTTATGATCATGATGGGATTGGGATGGTAAGTAGATGTCCCACTATACTCTCTTTGGCAAACAAGCAGATCTTTTTGATCCCAAATTCCCTTCTCATATATCTATAACACTCTTATTACCTTTACAAATACCTCACTTGACTGAAATTTTCATCTTCTGGAGGGGTATACATCACATTCTCAAATTCTTGGGTAAAAATTAAACAGATTTTACTGCCAGACTATAGATAAACAAGCTAACAGTTTCTTCCAAATTGATTGCAATCAGTTTCTTCCTTTGGACTTTGTAATTACAAGGGATCACCGATTTAGGAACGCTCATATTTATGAATGTGATCCCATACTGGGGAGTAATTTTAAAGATTCGACGAGGAACGGCTCCTTTATTTTGACCTGTGTAGTGTTCTGACTTGCAAACAAATCGACCTGAGTCTCGACTCCAGAATGGAATGCATTTACAACCTGGGGACTGCCTGTGGTCTTGTTAAAAGCACAAAATTTAAATGTGTTGCAGTCCATTCTTCCCTTCAAATCTTCTATTGAATTTAGCTGTATTACGGATACTATTTCAAAGATGTTCCCTTTCTGAATCATTATAATAATTGAATGCATACGTGTCCGTTATCATTGACTTTAAACTATGGTGCTTTAACAAATAAGACTATGAATATGTGCTGTAAAATTCAGTCCATTTTCTACTTCATTTACTAATTTATCTCTTATTAGCACAGCTTGAAATCTCTCTTTTTTACTTTCTTATGGGGCTCCTTTTTTAAAATCATCCTGATAAATTCAATAATTCAATACTGTGTATCATTTTTCTTACTTCAGCCTGCATAGGTTCCAATTGTTGATGACACTCACTTAGATTCCTCCTTCCTACTATCCCAGGAGTGCAACATTCACATGAATTCTTAATCATTTCTACATAGCATATATCTTGGCACATTTAATTTACTAAAAAAAGGATGTGCACATATGTAGCACCTTTCACAACTACAGGATGTCACAAAGCAAGCTAAAGCCATTGTTGATACTGGGGGATTCAGCATTGGTAATGTCATTAACATCAAGAGGCAATAGTTAGATTCTTTCTTGTTTGAGGGTCATTAGCTGGCTCTTGAGTGATATATATGTTGGTAGCCATTTAAACAACTGAAGCCTGGATATGAGCTGCTTCAGTATTTGAGGAGTGGTGAAGGTTACTAAATATTGTGCAATCATCAGCAAACATCCCCAATTCTGACCTTATGATGGAAGGAAGGTTATTGATGAAGCAGCTGAAGATGAATGGGCTTAATGAGAGATCTACCACTTGTTGAATAATCTTTTGTGGCCTAGAATCTGCTTTGCTTTGACCATCTGGATGTGCAGGTATTAAGCTAGCTGCCACCACTGAAAAAAACAGATAAAGGTATACATTATCTTAGTGTAGAACAGGTGAAAACAGAGTACAGAAGGTTAAAAAAAATGAACAGGAGTGACTTGCTCTTCCATCCAACATGATCAATACTGACCTTCAGCTTCAATTCCACTTTCCTGTCCATTTCCTGTATCCCTTGACTTTATCAGGGAAATGGAACAAGGTGACTGGTCTTTCAGAGAACATCTCTCTCACTGTAACCATTTCCATGATTCTACAGTTTATTACAGTTTATAGAAATTATTTAGATGAAGGGACAGAATTTATTGATGGCACAAAGGTAAGTAGGAAAGTAAAGTTGAAGTGGACATCTGGAGTCTGCACAGGGATCTAAATAGGTTAGGTCAGCGGCCAAAGATCTGGTAAATGGATAATGTGGGAAAATGTAATATTGTCCATTTAGGTAAGGAGAATAAAAAAGAGCATATTACCTAAAAAATGAGCGGTTATAGAGCTCTGAGATGCACAGGGATCATGGTTTCCTACACATGAATCACAGAAGGTTACTATGCGGGTACAGCAAGTAATTAGAAAAGCAGGTATCATTGATTGTCAGGAGATTGAATACAAAAGTAGTGAGGTTATCTTCTGGCCATACAGGGCATTGGTGTGGTGGGGCCACACCCGGAGTATTGTGTACAGTACCAGTCACCTTATTTAAAGAAGGGAGTAAATGCATTCGAAGCAGTTCAGGGAATGTTTATGTACCTGGAGTGAGTAGGATGTCTTCTGAGGAAGTGTTGGATAGGCTGTACTTGTATTTGCTAGAAGAGTAAGTTTAGAAGAGTAAGAGCAAGTCTTGATTGTAACATGAAAGATCCTGAGGCAACTTGGCAGGGTGGATGTGGAAAAGATGTTTACCCATTTTCCAGACCACTTTGCCGATTTGACTTGTGCAATCTATAGGAAGAATAAGGTTCCCTGCCATTACATTTATTACATTGCCTTTGTCACTGGCTTCAATGATTTCGTGTTCAGTCCTGTGATCCTTTGTCAGAAATAATATTAAACCAAATGTCTACACTCTCAGATAGATATAAAAGTTCCTACAGCACAATCTCAAGGAAGAGTTTGAGAGTAGTAGACGCCACTATACAGTGCTCCTGATGGCCACAAACACTGAAGTCTCAACCTCTGCAAAGATCACATTAGATGAGTTGCTTCATCCCAATTACTTACTCCTTTCTCATTGTATGTTCTCTTCCATCTCTAACAGCGACATCAGTCATGTTAGCAACTCCCAAGTATAAAGTGAATGTGTCTTACAGTCTTACACCGAGCATCTGAATGCAAAATTCTGAACTGAAGTCAAACCTTCCCTCATTCATTTGAAATCTGGGCTATGAGCTACATACTTTGCCTCGCACCAAGTTCAAAATGATTGCCATGTGACTGCAAATTGATCATCGGAGGAAATTGAAGCTCATTCTAGACTTGACATGAAACAAGCAACCAAATGACGCAGAGGCAGAAGAAATATTAGGCATGATCAAAGGGACATAGAACAGGGCTTCAGCTGCAAACATGTAAGATTTAATTACCAAGGCATGTGGAAAGCGAAGAAAGAGCAAGAGCCAATGATATATTCTTAATAATCCAAAGGTAATATTGTGTATGGGAAAAGAAGCCAATGCTGAAAATGATCTAACTATGAATATGCAAGAGTCAAGACTACCAAGCAATGGCAGTCCCATTGAACTGTACAAGAGACCCAAGGCATCAGAGGATAACTGTACGATTTAACTTGTCAAAAGCTCCTGAGAGAATTAAGATAGTCCATTAATCCTACCAACAGATACGATCTGTGATTGTTTAGGGCTATTTTAACGCTGTTACAGGGAGAGATTCAAGTATGATGTTGCAGGAAGGATTAGCATGGATTTTAGAGGCAACAATGCCTTTAGAAAAAAAAAGGAGGTTGCAGGTGGATGATAATTTCTGAGGATAGAAGGATTAAGGTTGAGTTTTTTTTAAACAATCTCAGTTTTCCATTTAAGTTCTTCCATTTCATCAAACCAAACTATCCTTCTTCATACCCTGTGTCCACTTGTCACAGTGCAAATGCTCAGTAGAACAGTGCTTTGGTAAATTCAAGCTTACAGCAAAAAAAGTATTTTAGCCTCACACCATTACAATGTGCAAAACAAATTGCTACTTCTTTGTACCAAATCACGTTATCTTTGAAAGTCAGAGGTATGGAAATACTTGGCATTCTCTTGGTTTATTAAATGTTTAATCACCTAATGAGAACTCATTTTCTGGAACGAGAAGGTATTTTTAGGTGAACTGGCTCACAAACCAGCTGTTTTTAGTGAAACGCCGTACAAAGTTTTCTTGTTTCAATCTGGCATTTTCTCAGGTTTCCCATATCAATTCGTTGATTTACAACAACGTATGTATCTATGCATGCATGAATGGACATATTTTTCATAATCTTGAAATAGGTTTCATTAGAATGAAACTTCATTGTAATGCTGTTGACAATAGAAGTATTTCACTTTTTCTTCAGGGTGTTTGGTTTCCCGGTCCATTACACAGATGTCTCCAATATGAGCCGCCTTGCCCGACAAAGACTTCTCGGGAGATCCTGGAGTGTTCCTGTCATACGTCACCTGTTTGCACCACTGAAAGAATATTTTGCCTGTGTTTGAAAACAAAGAAGAAAAGGAACTTATTAAAAGAAAGGAAAGAAATTAATTTACTCCAAGGAAAAAGAAGTCACATTCTGTTAGATGTTACTTAATTTCACTATTTTAAATGTCATCCTTTTTATCCTATTTAATTTTTTAAATGTTTTTAATTTCAGCTATTTTAATGGGTGATTTTATAATTATTGTTTATGTTGTGTTCAAGCTGTACTTGAGATGAGGCTGTTCAATCCTTTGCAGCACTGGGAAAATGACAATTTTGCCTTGTGTAGGTGGATAGGAGCAGCAAGAAGAAGCTGGATTTGAACAGAGCCTGGAACATCAAGTCAGCCAGCTGAGCCTTGCCTTACCAGCACCATTTCTGGTATCTATCTCGAGCAAAAAAATCAACGCTACATACAAATATTATACAATACTTCAGGTGCCTCCAACCAGAAACCATGAAGAAACAGTATATCAGCTGCCAGTACCTCTCATTTACAATACACTGATAGTTGTTCGAAAAAGGTACTACTGTGCAACAATTTCTGCAATGGTGCTTTTACAAAAGGTGATTGAAAACATCAGCTCTGATGTTGCCTTACCGTTTACAAGAGGCAGAATTGTAAAATAATCAGGAAAGAGCAACATTTAATGTTGTTAAGGTGGTCTTTAGTGGCTTGAGTGTGAAAATGTAGTAATGTTTTCATTTTCTCAAGAAGTCACTTTTAAGGACTTTTGCCATGACTGTAATTTTTCTATCATGTTTGTACAATAAGAAAAAATATATAACAGAAAATGGTGCTTTTTTCTTAAGCTTTCATCCTTGGGCTAAGGCCTGGTGCTTAACTTAACAGGTCACTTATAGGCAGCACAAATAGCCAGCCAACATGCAGTGATGTGTTTGGTCATCCAAAACTAAATGACAGGCTGCAGTTTTTTACTGAAGGACTGATGAATTTTTTACATCTGTGTTTTCCTTTTATTTTGGTTGATTTTTTTAAAATTTCCTAAGGGGTCTCTTTTATACCAGGAAATACCCCTCCTTGTAGCTGCATATAATCAGGTGCAAGTCAATACAGTGCAGCTTGATGGTGTAATTTTGCCTTTTTTTTTCCTTTGTTCCCATTTCCTTCCTTATCCTTTAGCTTTTTTTTGTTAATCTACATTTTTTTGTTGTTTATAAGTTGTTTATGCGAATCGTATTTCTGCTGTCAGTACTTGATCAAACACAACCGTCAGTTTTCCTTGAAGCAGTTGTCGATTCATATGGTGCTACACATTTTTTTTCTGAAATATTGAAAGAAATCTGCTATCTTGACAATGATTTATTAAGTTCTCATAGTCAAGGAAAAGCACTATTATTTTACTCTTTTAAGAAAAGAAAAAGGCATTTTAACTTTGTACTTGAAAAGAAAAAAAAATCAGTTTCATGTGTTTTAGCCTAGACAGTGCCGTAGTTGGTGCTTATTTGTGGGAATCATGTATTCATATTGAAGACAATGTAGTAAATTTGCTAATACTTTTACTGTTACATATGTATTTGCTTGATCCCCAGCAGCAGTGCATTTTCTTTCCACATTCCACGCAGCAAACAGTATTTCTTTGGTTTTATTTCTTCATTTTACTGTCATTATAACTTTGATAATATTTATTGATGATAATGTGCATTTCAAAGTTAAGAGATTTCACTGAAGATTGTATTTCAGTGAATATTGTATTACAGTGTATTGCTCGTGACATAGCTGTTTATGGAAAGGTCAGTATGTGGAGCAGCTGTAGCAGTCAACCTCCACCCTATTTTCAATGCCCAAAATGCTCCTTTCTGATGTACTTGTGCTGGAGAACACTTGAATAAATGTATTGGTTTTTTTGTGCAAAGTGTACACGGTTGTGTATCGGCTTGTTGTGTATTCTTTTGTTCTTCTAGTATATTGTTTCTTTCTACTGTAGATCCAGTTGGCTGACATCTAGGGGAAATAAAATCACGCCTTTGTGTGACCTGGTTCCCTTAAATTAATCAGTTAGTTGAGTAGGACGTTTGCTGCTGAGGAGCAAAAAGAAAATTCCATAAGTTTTATTCAGAAACAGCTTATTATATTGGCACACTAGGAAAAATGTTTCTAGTACTGTATGTGAACATTTTCAGACTCCAATATTTCCATTTCTCATATGATGAAGGAACTCTGCTGTCCTGAAAGCTAATTTTTCAGATATGTGCATCTGATCCAGTAAACGGAATCAAATGCAACATTTTGGCAAATTTACTCAGAAACCAATTCTCTGCCTAGTGTTTTAAACTGTGTGCTGCTGTGCTGTGGGGAAATGAAGCTTGTAACACTGCAGTTTTTTCACCACATGGGTGGCCACACTTAGCTGCCTCCTTGCTTACCTGCTGACTTCATTGTGGACATGTTTCCCAGTACAAATGGTCCCAGGTGCGTCACATTATCCAGAGTACTGAGTTACAAAGTGCTGATTTTATTAGATAATACACTTGTTGCACAATCAACATAAAATTAGAGAATGAAATGTTAAAGATGACCTGTGGGGGCTGTTGTGGCGCAGTGGTCCAGGTTCAAGTCCCACCTGCCCCTGAGAAGTGTCATAACATGTCCAAAAAGGTTGATGAAAGATAATGATTGAAGATGACCTGTGCAAATCTGTTCCTTTCGGAGCAGCGTTAGCCTATAGTTGGGGAAGCACTTTTTAACTGGTAACAACTTGAAGGACTAAAAAGCTCTTTGTTTTCCCTCCTCTTCTACAGCATCCAATTTTGTCAGAAGGGAATGTTTATGCCAATAAGACTAAGAGCTTCTTGTAAAATCTGTATCCAAATAACATCCCAATTAGAACAATTAGTTCAGATTAGTAACTAATTACCAATACTTATTAAGTTTAAAAAAAAATGTAGGGCTGGGGTAACTCTTGAAACTCCAGTAGCCAGCAGATATAAGGCCCCACCCCCTTAATGATATATTTTTCTATTTATATTCTCTCCCAATTTTTACCATTTTTCCCTAACATGACTGCTCGCCTCAGTGCTGTTTTTCTTCAGCCAGGACAGTGGAGAGCTCCAAGCTGTGACCTTCTTCATACATTATACCACTGTTTCTTTATCTTCAACTAATAGAAAAAGTGCAATTATCTGGAATAAGCAGGGACTAGTCCTGTAGTAAAATTTAAAAATTCTTTAGGGCATTTTCTGAGCTGCCAGTTAAAAATGGTCGAAATGATCCCAATTTAAGAAAGCAGACTTAAGCAATATAAATGATCTTAATTTTAACTTGCAGTTTCTGCATTTTAATGTGCTGCAAACATCATAGTGTTTTGTTAACCAGCAGCATATATCTAACTCATAACTGGTAAAGCAGCCTATTTGCTGCAATGCTTAAATATTTGTCAGAGGGCAAGTTTGAAGGAAATTTTTCTTTGCTTGTGACTGGACTGCTCAGTTAGGAATTTTTGAACTGCATTAAGCTCCAGCTCAATAGAGAAAAAAAAATCAGGAGAAAACCTGACCCATTCAAGTTTCCCTTCTGCTGCGTGATCCTAGCACAGCAACTCTCCACAGCTTGGAACTGTCCATTCCTCTCCACTGAAGAATAAAGCATAATGGTGCTAAAGGGTGGCAACTGTAAGGATCTAACGGGGGGAAAGAGGTACAAAATATTTTTTTAAATGCTTAAAAACGTACTCAGTACATAAAAATCTAGCTGTGATAAATTTGGAGTCCATTCTGGAGCACATTGTATCACACCAGGGTTAATGGCAACTCCAGTGCACAGAAAAACTATCTTAAAGGGGCACTGATGTCACAAAAAAGTATTTTGAGAAAACTTTTTTTGTTTACGAACTCATAATGCAATTATGTTAATTGTTCAAAAAAATCACTGAATCAGTCATTCATGATATCATCATGATTCAAAATGGTGCATGCCTATTTCTTTCTCGCCAAACAAAAAAGGTTTGCCAAACACTTTTTCATGAAGACAGTATCCCTTTAAATATTAAAATGAGGTATTCTCTCATCTCTTTCCTTTAATATATATATACCCACACCCATCATTGATATTATGATTATATAAGGTGTAACCCTGCTATGTGACTGTTACTGTAAGGATGGTTAATGTAACTGCTCAAAATTTATACCGGTACATTTATTTGTGACTGTATGTCTGTTAAACCTCAATAAAATGTTATACAAAATTGCACTGCTAAGCAACAAATGTATGATTGCCTTCAGTTTTTTAATTCTGTGATAATGACACTCACTGCACTAATTTTATTCATAAGAAAAGCACAACTATCTCATAATTCATGATCATTTTCCACATTATTTATTAAAATGATGCTCCATTTATACTGAAAAGTGGACCTTACAATATTTAATTGAATGAAGCTGTTCTGAATCCCTATTATTTTGCAGGTATAATGATCCATTTATAAAGAAATACAACAATGCCACAAATGATTTTTTAACAAAACAAATATTCCTACATATAAGAGAATTAAATATACTAAACAATATTAACATACACTGTTATAAATCATATCGTTAAGCATCTAGATTTCCTTCTTATTTACCCCCAAGAATTTTTTAGAAAATTCAGGAATCTTAAAGTTATTTACTTCTCATAAGACCACCCATAAATATGCTACAGTCCTCTGGAAACATTTCCTGAGCTACAGTATTCACAGAGGTAAAACTTTCACTCCCCCTCTCTTACTGTGAAGCTATTGCTTCCTGGCTCTGGTTACGTTTCCAACACTTCCAAGCTAATCTGCTGGTTATTTTCTTTCGCAGTAAGTCTGTGAAGCCTATCCTGTATATTCCTCCACCAGTTTCAAACTAGACAATCATTCAGCTTCTGTTACTAACAATATTTAATTTGAGATTAAGCCTTATCCATATTCCATGTATGGAAAGATGAAGTTCGGGTTTTACTCTATTTACAATACAGTTTTATCTATCGTTTACTTGGCAATGTCTTGATTAGCTGTTAACCACAAACTGTAATTAATATCTCTCCCAGCAAACAGATAAATTGACACCACAAATCCTTCCTAATAAGCTCTAACCAGCTCCATGACAATGTATGCTGCTCAGTTATCCTCAAATTGACTTTTCATTCTGTTACAATTTCTTCTTTGATCTGGTGAAGTTAATGGATGTTACAACTCAGGATTTTACTAAATGCTTTTAAACTAATTTAGCTGTAATCCCCAAAACAACATCTTTCTGGACTGCACTTTGTAAGCAGTGGAGATGCAAGTCAGTCTCTGCTATTCTGATCTTTTTAATGTACTACCTAGGAGATATATTCCTAAAACTAAAACTTAAATTTCAAAACAAATTTAAAATTAGATATTTGCAAAATGGAATAATTACACGATAAAATGATAGAAACATTTTGCACTTTGAATAAGCTTTTCTGTCCTGTAGTAGAAAATTAAATAATAAGCTGTGAAATTTAATTGGTCAAACTTATGAAAAGGTAGCTTAATCTTCAATAACAGGAGGTCTGCATGTAGAAACTCTGCAGTCAAACTGCATTATGATCCTTTTTCTGAAATTATTTATTAGGATTTACCTTTTATTCTATTCGATAAACACAGTTATAGCCAAACAGTTTATAATTGGTCTGTATGAAACTATGGTCAAAATAACACAATTAACTTTGTGAACTATAACATCCACTTCCCACCTACATAAGTTTTCTTTCAGGGTTAAAGTAAGATTAAATTCGTATTGGTTTCAACAGTGAGAAAAGAAAAATTACCCTCATAGCTCCTGTTCTCTCTCAGAACATAGATTATCTTCTCACTGACACCCAAATGTAATAAAGGAATAATCTAGGATATAAATAGGAAATGCTGGGAATATTCAGCAGGTACAGCAGAATCAATAGTGACAGAAACAGAAATAATGTTCTGTGTCATCAATTTTCAAAAGACTGAAGATTAGCCATTCTGCTGCTCAATCTTGATCTATTTATATTCACATTTCCTATTTACTTGTATTTCTTTTATACAGTCTCAATTGTCATAAAATTACAATTATTCCTCAAGATATATTTTCATTCAAAACTAAGCATTGCTTTAATTACTATACTGCAGAACAATTGTACATATTAAACAAATTTATGCATAAAATATTGCTTCCAGAACTTCAATTTCACAGTCAGACTTTTTTAAAAAATGAGCTTGATTCAAGGATTCCTATCCCCATTCCCAGCTCCCAAATCTTCAGGGCAAGGCAGGGCCAATAATGCATAATGAGACTTGCGTTAAAGCCCAGCCGTTCATTGTGCTATTGAAATTGCTGTGTACAAGGGAAAAATAAATACGTTTGTTTGACAACTCTTTCTCTTAGATCTATTTTGTCAGCCACACAATGGTTTATTTACAAAAGATAAACACGTCAAGTCATAGAGTCTTAGAGATATACCGCAAGGAATAGATGTAGGGGCAAATGTTGGCTTGGAGTGTATGTTGGCTTTGGGGTGCACAGGCTGGTAAGGAAGGTGGGTGAAGCACATTTTAATGGACAGGGCATGGCCAATGTATGGGAGTTTGAGGGATGAGGGTTAGAGGACATAAGGTAAATAAAACTAGTGGGACAAAGTTCCCGACCACTGAGGATAACCTTTTAACCAGCTTATCTCAGCTTTTGGCAACCCCCAGTGTCTATCTCCAAATCTTTCCCAGCTCTAGTTAGTAGCCAACTCCCACTATCCAACTCTAGGATAAAAATCCTGCTCTTAGCTTATTTTGCCTGCCAAGCTGAAATTATGAGTCCCTGCATTTCAACATATTTACAGCCGGTTTAGAATCAGTGTCATATAATCTCATCCAACTGTGATACCACTTGCCACAGAACA